AACCCCTCTGAAGGTGCCATGCTCATGAAAGCTGACAGTAACTGGGCTCAACTGCGTCCATGCAGATAGGCTGTAAGCATGGTGTAGACCCACGGGTAATTTGCCCTGGCTTTTATAACTAAATTTACAGCAATATTTATATTCTGGCCACTTCAAATAATTCTAAGCAGTTCAACGTTTAAAAAATACACAAGTAAAGCAGAACAATATGCCGATATAAAGTTCTCAGTGCTTTAGTATAGTTAAGTGCACAAAACCAAATTAAAAAAATAATACAAGAATAAAAACTACAGATTCAGCATCAATTAGCAAGAAATGCTATTTAATTTAATCTGAGCTCCAAATTCCCAGTTTTCCCACTCTCTCAAAAGAAAACAGGACTGGACCACGATCCTACAGGCAAGAAGACAATATCTAACTCAAACTGCTCACCTCAACCACAGAGTTATTGCTGAGTTTCCACTTGCTGCCACAGAGCACTGGCCGTCCATCAACATAAATGGGCCGTCGGCCTTCATTGGCCAAGAAAAAGTCCCCATTGTTCTTCAGCTTGATGACACCTATGGGAATTGAAATTAGAATTCTTTTATTGGCCAAGTGTGATTGGACTTTGTCTTTGGTGCAAATGCTCTCAATGTACATAAAAGAAAAGATACATTCGTCAAGAGTCAAGAATCATCAGGTACAACACTTAATGATAGTCATAGGGTACAATAAGCAATCAAATCATACTAGGAAACAGTCAATAAAAATCGTAAGGTTACAAGTGACAAAGTTACAGTCATACAGTCACAAGTGGGAGGGGATGGGTGATAAGGAGTGATGAGAAGATTAATAGTAATAGTAATGCAGACTTTGTAAAATAGTTGGACAGTGTTGAGGGATGTGCATTTAGGAAGAGATTAAGGTGACTTCCCAGGAGGAAGAGAACGAAGCTGCAGTGGAATGTCACTGGGTCCTAAGCCACATGAATTTAGGCCACAGCCACCATGCCAGCCATTGCCTTTAAAAAACATGTTGACCTTTCTTGAGAAATGGTTATCTTCAAAAGTTAAAGAGCCGATCTCCATCCAGAGAAGCTCTCTAACTAAGTAGCCTGATGAATGGCCACTGAAAACAGGTAGTCCTTGACTTACAAAGTTATAACACCCCCTTTCCTCAAAAGCTACTTACAACCCGATTTCAAAGTTACGACGGATGCATACCCACGCACCCACCCAGAGTTACGTGATTGCATTTCGGGCTCTTGGCAATCGGCTCAAACTTCATGGCCTTTTTGTAGCATCCCGTGCTCATGGGACTGCGGTTTTTTGATGCCGCTGCCGGTTTGCAACGTTTTACTTCTAGTTTCTGTCAAAAAATGTCCATTGGATAAAATGGATTTGCCTTAGTCACAGTGTTCACTTTATGACTAGGGCATTCGCTTAATGCCCCCCACCCCCCCAAAAAAGCTCAAGTCATGTCTCAACTTACAATGGCAATTCCATGCTCAATTGTAAATCGGGGACTATCTGTATGTACTTTTTACATGCTGATAGTAAATATATGAGAAAAACCGCAGAGCTTGTTTGGATTCATAGAATTTCACCTAATGCCTCGAAGATTTCATGGGGTCATTAGAATAATAAACAGCATCTTACATTTGCCCTACTTTCACATTTTAAAGACAGCTGTTTCTCCTAGCCAAAAAAAGAGAAAATTCTCAGGCATTTCACACTGTGAAGTCAGTGTATCAGTAACCACAAACAAGAGATTCGGGATCCAGTTCCTGATAGTAACACTTTCTTAACCATAGCTGTACTCAGCTTGCCCAACAAAGTATCTTTTTTCTCAGCAATCCAGAGTCAAGAATCACTTCCATTACCTTGTTTGCGGGAGATTTTCCAAGCAGGGCCTTCCAGTGCCAGATCTACATCAATCTGATTGTCTTTAGTGGCTCTGCCAAGCGTGATCTAAGAAAAGGAAATCAGATAAAGAATTCACTTTGCGTTATCAAAGCGGTCAGGGTTTTGCCGGCTTCAGCGATCAAAATAAATCAAGTGAACTGACACAGTACATTGTTTTTGATTTTGCAAATACTGACTTTTCTAAAAGACCCCATGAGGGCATGGAGACAAGCAAAGATCAGTGAAAAAAAGAAGTGAAGCTCATCACTGGATTGAAAATGACATTTTTAACATGGGTTCGCAGGTTGTCATTTTGTCACAAAGTAAATTACATAGATACTAATGGAGTAACAGTCAAGGTAATGGAAATCAGAAACCCATGTTCATTCTCCACTCCACTGCCAGTACAGTGTTATCTTCCACTGTCTGGAGAAAGAATAAAAACAATATCGGGACCTCTTGAATTAAAAACTCTTCTTCTATCAAAATGTTCTCACTGAAATCACCCAGAATCTTCAACGTTTCAGAACATACAAATATGCCATGTACTTCAAAATCAAATGGAGCTTGATTGTGATGCTTGATTTGCATTATTGAAAAATGATTCAACTTCCTCTCCTTGACCCAAGCTAGTAATAAAGAGTTCACCTCCTTAGTTTTGGGCGTGGCTGAATGAAAAACAGAACTTACCTCCCGGGAGCGCATGAGGTAGCGCACCATCCGTCCACGCAGCACCGCCAAGGTCTGGTTATCAAAATCAGGGGAGCTCATTCCTAGGAGGGGGGGAAAAAAGAAATCAGACTGACAAGATTTTGGAAAATGGAGACAACCAGTAGCAAGCTTGGCAAGAGCAAAGTGCCTAGTGTCGCCTTTGGCATATAAGTTTAATAAATAAATAAATCGTGCTTGGGTGTTATTTGTAACCAGCGGTCTCCAATCTTTCTGGCTCCACAGACCGGCGGTGGGAGAGGGAGGGGATGATTTCGCATGCGCAACCTAATCCCCTACATGTGTAAATGGAAGCTTCACATACTCGCCCACCACTTGCATGGGCCAATTCCCAACGGGCCGCAGACCAATACTGGTATACAGACTGGAAGTTGGGGGGCCCTGATTTATATCACTTCTGTTTCAAAACTGGGCTTCCATCTACATCCTTTCAAGATTCTCCAGCAGCTCTTTCCACTACAAGAGGCCTCTGCAGTTTTTTTCTCACCTGTTATACTATCCACCAGCACTTGCCATTTGTGCAGCTCTTGCTCTAGCTGCCGAATCTCACGCTTCTGCCTCCGGTCTGCCACAGTCAGTTCTGAAAGGAGGAAGGTAATAACCACGTGTTGAACAGAAAAATGCAATGGCATTCTTTTGTAATAAAGCTATACATAATTTGGGTTCCTAGAAATCCTGGGCTGTTTTTTGTTTTTTTTTCAAATTCCCTTCCTTAGGTTTCCTACCACCACTCAATCCTGGCGGCTCTTTCTTCCCCTTTTTGCAGGAAAACCAAGGAAGAACATGGCAGAAATTGACTGAAGAATCCTAGCATTTTAGGCTCTCACATCTCTCCAAACAAGGCTTCTTCCTTCCTTTGGCTCTGCTGCTATCAGGCTTCTAACTTCAGAGGTTCTTGCCAAAAAGGAGGTAGAAGGCCCTGGAGCCATTTCCTTAGTCATCGAGAAAGCAAAATTCAGCCCTACTTTTCTTCCACAGCTTTCCAACACAGATTCTAATCCTTGGAGTTAGTACTGCCCAGTGTTTTGACCAAACAGAAAATAGTCAGAAACACATAAAGCTGATAATGCAAAAAACACAGCCATCTAAAGAGGAAGTTTCTTTTCGGTCCGTATGTAGCTTCACATTATCAAACCAAATTTAACTTACCATGTTCCAACACTTCATCTCGTACATCTCTATACGGAAAGAGGAAAAGGGGAGAGAAAAAGAGAGACAAAGAAGGTTAAGTAGATCCTAGACTGCTCATTGATTGCTCCAGTATGAGTTTAGCATTTGCTTCTGTTCTATTGAAATTCCATTATTAAACACATGTACGCACTTTGGGTCAGATTAAAACTGTCCCCGGTGCAACGCAGACAACTTCAAAAAGCAAATGACTACAAATTTCCAGCTGGAATTCCCCAGGACAGCCAGGATGCTGGCTACAGAATAGATGGAAATGAAAGCGCTGTAAAAGCTAGTCAATAACTGTCATCAGATCTAAACTCTACTGTGACACAATTCCTGGGCATTCAATCTGGAAGGGAACAGGAGCGGCTTCAAATTGTCATTCTAAACACTGAAGGGATGTTTGCCCATCCCCAAGTCGGCCAAGCCGCATTGGTGGCAGAATGCTCTACAGTTAAAGGGAGAGAGGGGTGGTGATGTTATCTACTAGCTTCTCACTTACTTCAGCTTGCTGTCATCTATCATGTCTTCAGCATCTGAGAAATTGAGCACTTGGTCTCCTTTGGGCAGTGGCTGCACTGCAGAGAGGAGGAGGGAACAAGGTAGTTTAGAATTCAGATCCCAGCCTCCGCCTTAGCCTCAGCCAAGGAATCAGCAGACCGCCTTACCTGTTTGATCGTCCAGGAGGTAGTACTGCTTCATGAGTTGCCAATGTGTCTGCAAGACTTTAGCAGTGCGGGAAGGATAGAAAATCTCTGGATGTTTGTGCAGCAAATCCTGGAATGTATCCAAACTTGGCTGACTGGTCTAGGCGAACAACAGAAAGAGAGTGAAAGCAGGAGTTGTCATTACATAGAGTGGTCTTTATTGCTAATATTATAAACATTTCCACGACAAAGGGTCTTAATCAGGTTTAAGTGTATCTCAAGCCTTGTTGTGCAATGCATTTGCTAACTTCAGATTTCCTGAAATCCATAGCAGTAAGGTTTGCAATGGCACCAACTCTAAAATGGCTCCAACCTGGTCTGTTATACTATATGTATTAATTGCAGAAACAAGGAATAATTCTCACAAAAAAACTTTTCTGAGCATTGAGAAGAGGAAATGTCTGTGAGTTATAGAGGGATAAAGCAGAACTTGTGAGGCATTAGAGGCTGACACTAAAGGGCTCTCAGAAACCCAAGTTTGCTTTGTGTCAGAGCTACTCCGGCTGGGGATGTGACATCCAGGTTTATTGCTCCTTACCGATCCCACTTTGCTTAGCAGCTGTTCCTCTGCTTTGCTAAAAAGCACTTTGCTCTGCATGGATGCAATGGCTTCAGGATGCAGTTGCCTCATTGCTTGGCAAGACAGTCTGTAGAGAATGAAGACAAAGGAATCAAGAATTCATTGGCTTCACTGACTCAGCGGGATTGTTGTCTCTCCAAGAGTCTCCAGCAGAAAGAATGAAAGAGGAAAAACAAGGCTGTACACTGAATTCATTAATATGAAATTCATTAATATGAAATTCATTAATATGAAAACAGATTCAATAAAGTCCCAAGTAGTTGATATATGTATCCTGTCTTTTTCAAAGGGGGTATGTCAGGATTTTTTCATGTTTTAGAAAGCTATCCTGATATTTGCATTTCCAAAGAAATGCAAGATGACCATTTCAGGAAAAGTTGGAGATGTCAGAATAAACGTTTTCACGTTAATTCCAGCACTGATGAACTAGAAACTAATTCTCTCAACTTAAAACCATCTTCCCCCTCAGCCATGTTTAAGAATGTTATTGTTTTTTCTAGTGGTAGGATTCCAGTGCCACATGATTAGAAAACCCCTCTTTACCTAAGAAAAAGTAAATAAAATATGCATTGGGAAGTAGAACATCAAAATACCGCTTACAATGATCAGGAATCATCTCTACTATGAAGACAAGCTCATTTAGAACAAACATAACTGCATCAATATTTAAACTGGACTACTTTGTTTTAACCCTCTGGAAATCTGGAATCTGTGCTACTTTCATGTTTCTTCCACCTGTGTGTCATGTCCCTGGTGGAGACTGACTCTGAGGGAGAGGAGAAACAGCCAACAGGAAGTGGAAGTGTGGCTCCGGAGGTTGTGGAGGAGGCTGGGGAAGGGCAGAGGCCAGCTGGGCAGTCAGAGGAGGACCCAGGCCCATCCCCTATTCATCCTAGGGCATGCAGGGAGGAGAGGATAAGGGGGAGACGTGATCTCCTCGGGAGGAGAGGGCCTTGATCCTCTTCATGGGCTGCAGCTGTGATAACTGAATAAGAGGACGGACATGCGTACAGGCGAACGTTGGAAACAATGCGTGGAAATATCTCTAGTTTATGGTTCCTCTCTGAGTTTGGCGTCCTTTCCAGTGTGTGTTCTGTTGTCTGTGGACGTCCTCCAGCCCTTATCTTGCCTGGTTTGTGTTGTTTTTTCCCTCCTTCTTGTAACTGCTTGTGTGGGAGTTTTTTTGTCTTCCGTCAAGGATATTTGGAGCTTGGAAGTAAAGAGAAGGAATAAAAGGGGCTTCACTGGGTTTTTGTGACTGTGTTTATTTTGTATCCCCATCCTGGGTCCTCATGCTGTGGTTCTATCAGTCCATCAACAATATAGTAAAATCCACGTTCTGCTTTTACTACATTGCATGCTATCTCTGTCACATAAGAACTGTGGGAGGAGGAATGGATGAACTACATGCAGGAATGTTATCTAAATCAGGAAGTGACCAGTTTCCATGAAAACAACCAGTTCCATCTTAGCTTTTTTTCCCCCCCTCTTCCAGCTTGATTAGCCTTCTGGACTTGTCTTGGACACTCTGCCTAGTGGGGAACCAGATGACACAGCCATGCACCAGCAGGAGCCATGGCTGCAGTAGAAGCAGCCAGCAGGAGCACGGACAGCAAGGGTACCGGTGCAAGCAGACCAGGCCTGCTGCTGGAGACTCTTGATTCTCTCCTCAGCTGGAACACACTGAGTTTGCTTCTTCCTCCAAGAAAGAGGAAAATTTAACATCCAATTTGCAAGAATCGGATCCAGCAGTTAGATCGTTAGATAACATCCCTGTGGTATGGAAGAAAAGATCACGGTTGGCAATGGCACCTGGAACAAGCTGAAATGACACCCCAGTGATGACACATATGCCATGGCATCTATTTGTCATGTATTCTCCCTATTGACATCATGAGAGGTGGGAGTCAACACTGCTTCTCAACAGCTTTGAAACTGCACATAAAGTGGGAGAAGGGGGAGGGGGAACCCCGATCATTCTTCCCACATAAAAATCAATGAATCCTTATTGGTGTTTCAGGGGTTCTCTTTCCTCTCAAGGAAAGCCACAAGAGTAGCTATACTGAAAGGAATGGGGAAACCTCGCCAGACAATGGCTTCCATATAATAAGGGTGGCAGAAAGAGACCTAATATATACTTTGCCACAGACATGGCCACACATGACCCTTTATCCCAAGACTCTGCTTGGAAGTAGGATCCATTAAGTCAAAAGAATTCACTTAACATACAGAATCTCCACAGAGGAAAGTTTTCTGGAAACTAGATCAACACATGTGTGTCTTTCAGCATACTGGGATGCTTGCCTCTCCTTAAGAGAGCGATCTGCTTCTAGTCCTCAGCTGGTAGTGGCTCAGGTTGCCACTTGCCTAATTTTGGAAACAAGAGTGGGAGCCTTCACCACAGCTCTGTCCTCTCCCTTTGAGAATCAGGATTGTGTGACTAGGACCAAACTTACTTGGAAATCACAGGATCGTAGAGTAGAGCATACCACCGCTCCTGGATTTCTCGCAGATTAAAGCGACAGCTGAACTTCACTCCCAGGTGCACAGAGGTCAGATCATTGGTCTTCAGAGAGAAAGAAAAAGAGATCTCAGTTCTAGGGTGGGCAAAACAGTCAGGCTTGGGGCAAGTAGAGAAAAGAAAGAGAAAAGAAAAGAAAAGAAAAGAAAAGAAAAGAAAGAGGGAGGGATGAAGGAAGGAAGAAAGGAAGGAAGAAAGAGAGAGAGAGAGAGAGAGAGGGAGGGAGGGAGGGAGGGAGGGAGGGAGGGAGGGAGGAAGGAAGGAAGGAAGGAAGGAAGAAAGAAGCAACTATATTGGTTTCCAACACTTTGAGCTTAAATGGAACAGAACCCACTGAAGGATAAAGCAATCAAAAACTGATTACAAAAAATTGCTGGGGTGGGATGGATGTTTTTAGAAAATCAATATACTTCTGCATCTATGGTGGACTGAGTCAGGCTTCAATACTGGTTCTACAGATACTTGACTTACTACTGTAATGGTGCCTCCGATTGTTGTTCTTAAACAAATGTGGTGGTTGTAAAGTGAATGTGGCAGTCCTAAAGAGGACTCATTGTTCATTATGGAGCGGTTTTGCTGAAAACCGGAAATGCATTGGAAAAAACATGGTAAAATGCAATTATGTGACCATGAGACACTGCAAATGGCAGTCAATGCAGGCCAGCTGCCGAGCACCCAACATGCGATCCCCCATTGGACCTGGGGAGGAGGAGGATCCATCATAGCTTTGGTTGCCAAGCAACGGGTTGTAAGTTGAGGACTACCTGTTCTAACTGGAAAAGGCACACATTAAAAAGATTCCGGAAGAGGGTGAGAATAGTCTCCAGATATATTTGGAAGAGAACTGCTTAGGAGCCTCATGTAAGCTATTCTAGTTTTCTTGGCATCCAAAAGGATTTAAATAGCCTTTCTGAACCACGGTGAATAAACATCTGGAACATGTGTTCCCTAACCGTAAGTTCATTCCACTACCTGAAGCACAGCATTGATCAGCAACAGATCATCGGTGGGTTTCCAGCGGCCCAAATCCTTGGTGACCTGCAAGGGCTGCTTGCTCTTCTTCATCCGTTTGCTGAGGCTGGGATTTGGAGCAGGGTTTGGAGTGACAGGAGTTGAGATGGACTTGGACACCTGAAGAGGCAGAGGGGAAGATTATCCCATCTACTCAAAGAGTCTTCGGCAGGCCTTAAATTCAGAAGGCAACCAGGAAGTGGAAGCCCTTGGATTCCCATTTTGCTACAAGGACACAGGAATCAAACTTTGCCTGGCAGGATTGGCTTATTCCATGAAAGAGGATTTCAAACCAACCCAGCTTTTAGAACATACTGTCAGTTACAGAGAAACAAAACAAGCCATTCCTAAAGAAACTGCCAGTCAGACTTACAAACGAATGAAAAAAAAAAAAACAACTAAAAGGTTGGGCACCATTATTTCTTAATATGTATTTAATGTACACATTTAAGTTATGCACTGATAGTTTTGCACTGGAATGTGGATTCAATAAAAGAGTCATAGTTACATTTACGGTCAGAGCGTCTTATGTGCGACATGGAGAACAATAAAGAGGCTTTCTGAAGGCTCCCCCCCCACCCCCCTCCCAGTGAAACACAATGTCACTGACTCACCTTCCTCTTTTCACTAGAAGATGGCTCACTGCCAGAGCAGCGTCCAGGCTCCACCCCGCTGGGGCCTTTGGCCCGGCTGGATGATTTGGCAAGGCTGCTTTCTACCAACTCATCATCAAATTTCTTCCGCTTGATGAATCTAGAATGGTGAACATCCGCATTGCCGTAATCTCAAGGAAACAGCTACCCTCCTTCACTACTTTCTCTTTAACAACAGGGAGTCATGGATGACTTCATTGGACATTCTTTCACTTAGCAGGATTGTGGGCCAAGTCTTTTAAGAAAAGCCCAAGCTATATTTGCATACGGCATAATGACTCATAATAGGTCAACCAGCATTTTAACAACCATATCTTGGGGGGGGGGGCGGCATTTGCACAATTACCCTCAGTCACTTGGCTGATTAATATGCAAACCACATGCACTTAGTTTACTGTCACATTTTTGCAGTAATTAAGAGCAGCCATTATTTCCCGTTACCTCTAATAAGAACTTGAGACTAAGATCAATTGTTGGTGTGGACTGGAAGTAGCGACTCTTTCAGGTTAAGTCGGTACATTTAATCATGGGGAAGCTATCAGCTGTGATTAAGGATATGGGATATGGGATAAAATGCTCTGGATAAAATGCACAGGATATGGGATAAAATGCTCTGAGGGATTGGAATGCATTACATGAACATGTCTCTGTACACAAAACGTTTGAGACATATTTTATAATTTATATAGAATTCTACAGGAGGAGATCTTGTTCCTTATGGCACTAACTTCTAACCTATTTGACCCCATGAACTATACTGAAGAAAAATCAAATAATGTTCTCTAATCAGCAAGAACATTTACACAATTATTCTCTTTGCTTTTATAGCAACAGACTTATATACTGCTTCACAGTGTTTTACAGCCCTCTCTAAGCAGTTTACAGTCAGCCTATTGCCCCCAACAATCTGGGTTCTCATTTTACTGAACTTGGAAGAATGGAAGGCTGGGTCAGCCTTGAGCTGGTGAGATTTGAACTGGCAGTCGGCAGAAGTAGCCTGCAGTACTGCATTCTAACCACTATGCCACCACAGCTCATTTACGTTCAAGAGAACAAATATGGTCACTTCTGGTACATTTTGTGAGTCCCAAGATTCCATCCTTTCAATTAAAGGAATTCCAAAGAAAACTGCTATCTTTGGCTGGAAAACCAACATGAGGCCACAGTTTGATTAGACATCCTGTTGTCAACCTCCTGACTTAATCGGTGCAAATTAAAAGAAAGCAAAACACTTTGTGATTGCTCCAAAAGTTACAACTTCAATAGGTTTTACTCAAAACCAACATCCATTTTTAAACATCCTCAGAAAACAATGGCTCCATTGCATCTACCTATGAAAAGAATCCAGCCTATTTAGCTATAACTTAGCCCTCATTTCCAACAAGCACCGTATTTCTAAACTTCAAACTCTCAACTCTTCAAACGAAAGGTATGTTTGAAGGCTAAATGTTCTCCTTTCCTTGGATCACCTTCCCAACTGCGTCCATCATAGTACCTGGATGAGCTCCGTCGTTTTGGAATGGCACCCGATACTTGCGATGAGCTCCTTTTTTGTCCTGCTAGAGACTCTTCGTCTTCGGAGCGGCTAGCTGTACCCGACGCCATCAGTCTGGAATCCAAAGTGTCTGCCAGAGACAGGAGCACAGATTCAGTGCCTGGTGGTAACTAGTTCTGATTGGATCCCAAGTTGCAGCCATGTCTACTAGGTAGCTGATGCAGAGGGAACCAAAGGAAAGCACTTGTGCGCAAACTGATTATGGGTTCATCCCTAACCAGCAGTCTTAGAAGTCTAAAAGAAATTGTATAAATTGTAGTCTCTCACTTACAACCATTTAGTGATCGTTACAACAGCATTGAAAAAAGTGACTTATGACCATTTTTCACATTTACGATCGTTGCAGCATCCCCACGATCACGTGATCAAAATTCAAACACTTGGCAAATGATTCATACTTATGATGGTTGCTGCGCCCCAAGGTCATGTGATCCCCTTTTGCGACCTTCTGACAAGGAAAGTCAGTGCGGAAGCCAGATTCACTTAACAACCGGTGTACTAACTTATCAACTGCAGTGATTCACTTATCAATTGTAACAAGGAAGGTCGTAAGATGGGGCAAAAAACTCACTTAACAAATGTCTCACTTAGCAAGAGAAATGTTGGGTTCACTTGTGGTTGTAAGTCAAGGACTACCTGTACATGGAATATATAACTTAAAAGCAAGTTAAGCACCCACCTTATTCTAGTATATTTTTGCTTGGGAATATACTATCATTGATTTCAGAGGAAAATATTCTAAGCAATGTGCCCCGCTACTACAATTAGTATTACATAGAAGGCATTTTCCATTATGACGGTTTTCGAGGAAGATAACAATGGGCATAAGCATTTTGGTTATTGTTTTGCTTGGCTGCTAAGAGCAGCTACAGGAAGTCCTTGTTTAACAGCCACAATTGGTTCTAGAGTCTCAGTTATTAGGTATAAAGGTAAAAGTAAAGTTTCCCCTTGCACATAAGTGCTAGTCGTTTCCGGCTCTAGGGGATGGTGCTCATCTCCATTACAAAGCCGAAGACGTCTCCGTGGTCATGTGGCCAGCATGCCTAAACGCCAAAGGCGCGCGGAACACTGTTACCTTCCCACCAAAGTGGTCCCTACTTGCATTTTTACATGCTTTCGAACTGCTAGGTTGGCAGAAGCTGAGACAAGTAATGGGAGCTCATTCCGTTACACGGCGAGAGGGATTCGAACCGCCGAACTGCTGACCTTTCTGATCAGCAAGCTCAGCGTCTTACCCATTGAGCCACCATGTCTCATTATTATGAATTATTAAGTCATTAGGTATAGTGGTGGTTAAGTGAAAGCCACTTATGACTGTGCTTATGATTTTATTTCAGCTTTCCTTTGCTTTATATTGTCAAAAGGATAAATGTCAAACGGTCTGGTGAGCCAAAGAGAACTCCAGAACTCATTTCACAAGGAAGCCAAGTAAAAGGGCAAATCTTATAGCTCTTTCTCTCCCACCCCCTCCATTCCTGCCCTTTGGAATGTTCAGCCTGGCACTGGGATAATTAACAAGGAGAGAACTGATATTTATGTTTACATTCATTGGAGAGGAAGGAATTACAACAGAGCACCCAGGTACTCCTTGACTTACGACTGGTCGCTTGACAACCTTCAAAGTTACAATGGACTCTCTTTGGGGCTACTTACAACCAGGATTCAAAGTTCTGATAGTTGGGCCCTTCCTGATAGTCATGTGACTGAACTTCAGTCACTCAGCCAAACACCATTACAGGTGTTTGCAGCACCCCACTGTCCTGTGATGTTTTGTGAGGGTTTTCGCTGAAAACCCACCCTTACTTCCAATTTTCAGCAAAACTGTCTGCGTAGGAACACTTGGTCCCTTAACAACCACTGTGTTTAACCGCAGCAGTTGCTCTACAACTGTCATAATTTACAACTGTGATGGGCAGGCTCCATTGCAATTATAGGTTGAGGATTACCTGTAATAATAATGGAGAATAAGCACTGAAAACTAGATCTTTTGTTTGCCAGCTGACCAGGAACTGCTTAGAACAGGGGGCCCCAACTTGTGGGCCAAGACCCACTACTGGGTCGTGGCCTATTTGCAACTGGGCCCTGTGACTTGTGGGACGGCACGCGTGCACAACCCAACTTACACGGGCACTGGCACTCGCAGTCCCACTTGCGCAAGCACTGGTGCTTGCAGCCCCACTCATGTGAGCGCTGGCACTCACAGCTCCACTCATGCGAGTGGCGGGCCGCTCGCACAAATGCAGCTGTGCATGTGCACACAACTGCCCCTCTCACAAAACCATCCCCTCTACCACCACCCTCGGCGCGCCGGGCTGCCAACCTGGAAAGGTTAGGGAACGCTGGCTTAGGAAGTTAAAGAAAATCTTTAGTGTGAAACTGATTACCTCAGGATCAGGCAGAACTGAGCTTGTTAACTTGCAGTTAGTGCTTTTTAGGGACCCCACACGCTCTAGAGAAAAGCAGCTCAGGAAGAGAAAGGTTGTTTAGACCAGTGGCTCCCAACCTTTTGGGCACCGGGGACAGGCTCTGTGGAAAGATTTTTCTATGGACCAGAGGGAGCATGGTTTTGTGTGCTGCCTGCAACCCACAGATGGGGGCTTCGCTTGTTTGCGGGGCCCAATTTCTGACATGCCACAGATGGGAATTGGGGACTCCTGGTTTAGGCAATCTCTCAACTCGTGGGGTGAGGGGAAAAATAAGTGGGCCAAGTACAGCTCAAAGCATACTGACTGACTGTAATGGTGAACACATGACCGAGAGAGAAACAATCAGAAATCCAAGCATCAGTCGCAATGTTACTTTTTCATCATAACTACAAATGATGACTGTCCCAGATGTCCCAAAACAAGGACTATCTGTACAGTCAGTTTGGAACTCAATCTTTGGACCAATAATTATCTTTTAGCTCAACTTTTTTCCACAGTTTCATTGTTGTAATATTAAAATGAGAGCGAGAGTTCCACAAACACCATCTTGAGTTCTTAAAAGGAAAAAGAACGATGCTCTTGAGTTACTCCTGGTGACTTCATGGATCCATGAAGTTGTTTATACGTGCATGTTGTTTATTTGGCAACAGTATGAAAGCAAATTTCCACATTTCTTCTTCAAGGATATTTTTTCAATTTCGTGTTTTATTTTTGGGACAGCTTTGGGGCAGTCTACTAGTTTCCTATCCAAGTATTAACCACACTAAACTTGTTTGGTATTTCAGTATCAATTTGTTGGTTAATTTAGTAAAAACAGTTATTGCCACTTGCTGGGCCAATTAAAGGGAAATATATCAAGCTCAATTCCTGACTTTGTCCCTGTTACCGTGTTTCTCCAACAATACGGCCTCCACCAATAGGAAGGCCCAGCATGTTTTTTGGGCATAAAATCAAATTAAGCCCCTCCCCCCAAATTTAGGCCTATTTTAAAATATGCAAAATAAGGGGGAAGGGCGGGGAGACTTGCCGTTAGGAGCGCCCAGCGGGCAGGAATTCCTCGCCACCAGCCGCTCCTAATGGGCAATCATGGCGAAGCGCGGAGAGCTCCCTACTCCCACCAAACACCTTTGCTGCAGACACCTTTGGCACCCGCCGTTGTTGCTTTCCCTTCTGCACATTCCGCCACCACGTTTGGAGCTGCCGCTTCCGTGTTTGGAGTGCCGCCGCCATTTGGAGCTCCAAACGCGGAAGTGGCAGCTCCAAACATGACGGCGGGTGATCTTTTTATTTTGGTCCGCGGAAGTTCAGAGCGAGCAAGAGAGGGAGACTGCGATGCCTCCATCCGAGATGGCAACCTCACTAGTGGATCACAACGTGGCTGGAAGCCCGAATCGGCGGGATACGATGGCAATCTTTTTGGAGCGAGAGGAAAGGGAGAGAAGAGTTGCGAGGCGTAATTTGCAGGAGGAAGTGCTCAGCACGTGAGGAGCATGCGCGGGAGGGGGGGGAGAGACGGATGGGACGCTGGACGCACTGGGTTGAGAGGGCGCCGCCCCCTCCCCCTCTCCAGAAAGGCGGGATCGTAACTCTCGGGGGAAAAAAAAAAAAAAAAGAGCGCACGGGCTCCTGAAGCTGAAAGGCATGATGGGGCGTGGCCAGAACCCTCCGGTGAAGGGGAAAGGGGCGGGCAATGAAATGCACGGACGAGTGGAGGAGTCGAAGCCATTTCCCGGCAAACATCCCCATTGGGAGGCGCCGAAGCTTTGGAAGTTGTGGATTGGTTGGAGCTCACGGTGGGGCGGGCTCAAAGGAGGTCCGCGGCAGCAGGGTTGCCTCACCCACCCCCTCCTGCGCCTGGGGTTTGCGCGTCTTTTCCTCTCATTTGCTTTCCGAGCGAGGCCCGGGGTTTGGCCTAGAGCCGGTGGTGCGGTGGCGGCGTGATAAAAAGCGGGCGGCCTCTTTCCCTCTATCTCTCTCTCTCTCTATGTATGAAAGAGCTCGCCTCGCTCGGAGCGTTTGCAGCGAAGCACACGAGTTTCGCAGTCGGAGAGGGAGGACGCGGCG